TATACTTACATTTATAATACTTGATTAATAAATAATAATTACTATTATTATAATAGTATAATACTTATCTAAATATACTATATTATACACTAATTTATACACATAATATATACCTATAATATTTATAACTTAAATTATATTACCAAATGTTTTTTTATCGTACTATATAATTCTATATAACACAAAAAAAAATTTGTTCAACAATTAAACTATTTTCAATAATTTTAGTGTGTTGAAGTTCTTATACTTATAGTTAGTATAACTTTAAGGATACATTTTTTCTAATACTTGTTTTTGTTATATTTTATAGAAGAAGCCCTAATGACAAATGACAATACAAATTTAGTATAACTTAATAATTTACATGTTTGAAAATATGGCCCTTTATTGTTTATTTTAATAAATATTTAAAACTGTTTGCCGTTTAATGAATCTCTTTGTATAAATTGCTTAATATTGTTTAATATTTTTTATTGAAATAATAATTTAAAGTTACTAGTTATTAGAATATATTTCAAATTAATCTTAATATAGATATTGATTGTCATTTCTATATTTTAAGTGGGTTACCTATATATATATTTCAAAATTATAATTGGCTTATAATTTACATTAGTTTCATAATTGTATTATATTGATGTACTTACCTTTATTTAATATATCAGTGGATATTTTAAGGAACTATTACTGGGTGACATTAAAACAAAAATGTTCACTCGACACACGAAAATCAAGATGTATATAAGCCTAAAAAAACTTTTCAGAATTAAATAGGCATACAAAACCTTACATTTATCTAACAATAAAGGTACCATCAAAACTCACAACACATAAGCAAGTACAAATAATTTATGAGTTAAATTTATTCTTTTCAAATATAAAATAATTGAGTCAATTGTTAATGACATACAGTATATGCATATTACATAAATACAGGAAAACAACACTATAAAACAAATATAAGAATTAAAATTAAATATCACCCATTATTTTTATTTGTTTATCGTGTGTGTTGTAAAATATAAAATATTTTATAATAGCGTGGTGACATAACACGCTAAGGTTGAGAAACACTGTGGTATCCACATTTACGTGAGACACTTGTAATGTTCCCGTTCGGGATAGTTTATTTATTAATTTAATATTACGAAGTGCTTAATATATCCGCGATTTAATAATTATATCATGACGTAACTATATACTTCAGATAACTATAGTCAGCTTCCGTGAACCGTCAAAATAAATTGTCGGTATGTAATTATATTACAATAACATGTAAATACGTAATACGTTAGGTATACGCGTATTATAATATGTAAGAATATATTTCAAACAGTTTTATAGTAATTTGTAATTTTTAATGTATTATAAATTATAATTATTGAAAAAACTGTATTAAGTATAATATAAGCATAAAATATAAGATTTTAAGTCATTTTATACTCACTAAAAGACGAAATTCGTTGTATATATTGAGCCTTGTACGCTTAATGGTTCAAAGTGAAATAAATGTTTAGTTAACTTATAGGAACAAGGACTAAAATAAAATTGAAAACAATTTAATTTGTAGATATTTGTTAGGACGACTGACGACAAGATGAAAATGCCGTATTGTCACATAGAATAAATTGTTTTCTTTCATACTGTATTAGGTATTCTATACCTAACGGTGAACGGTCACACGGGCTTTCCATTGTAAGAAAATCTCAATAATTGTTTGTACTTCCAAATTTAAATTATAAATATAAATATAAATAAATAAGAAAATTAAATATAAATAATTATAATAATTTTAAACATCGTCATTTTTACAAAAATCTTTGTCGTCCAGTTATTAATTGTATCGTTTACTAGGCGACAAAAATGTCACCCAGTATAATATTATAGTTAAAATATCCACTGATTTATGTGTGTGTGAAATGTGGGTAATACTGTAATAATGCGGTTTGCGTTTAAGCAAATTTGTAAAAATTGAAATGCGTTGCGTCTGGGTACCTACTAGTCAGTATTTTATTTCACATTTTATATTTTTCCTTTCATTTTGACAGACTCGGGATTGTTCGTTACTTTCACAGGTATGATTAAAATCTATTCCTTTTTTGATGAAATGTAATGAATTATTGCTTTTGTTTTAAGCTTGTCCATATACCGAGATTTTATGTGTATAATTTTATCTTAATTTTTAAACGTTTAACTTTTGTATTGTGGAATAATTATTGATGACGGTTGTAGATACGAAAAGATAATCCGTTTGCCGGTCAGAGGTGGCATTGTGTCGATTGTGTTGATGAAGTAGACTAGCCGTAGACGGATGCTAAATGTGGACGTATCATACTCGCTCAAACACAGTGTAAAGAATTCGTCCAAACGCATTACGCTTCAGAATGAAAACTTCTATAAATTATTAGAATGTATAAAAGTCTGTTTTATGGTAGATTGTATTGAACAGGCATTAGGCAAACAAAAAACTTCTTGTACTAGTAGGTGTACCAATCTATCTACCTAAATTTAATAGATACCTATAGCAACATAATCAATATTATATAGGATTGTAGTATCATTATTTAAGTTTTACTACCAACCACTGAAAATCGGTTACAGTTTGTACTATTTCAAATAGATAAAAATTAATATATTTTACATAATTAAAATAAAATATTGAAATAGAAGATTGCAGGTAATCATATAGTTTAATGTTAGATTTCAAGCAGAAATTAATAAATATATTTTTTACAGTAGAACTATGTGGAATTAAAATGAAAAATCAAGGGGAGTAGATGCTTAGAAAACATTGAACACTTATTAAATATTTCATCAGGAATTTCTTCAACTGCAGGTTAAAACGGTAAATATGTTGTCATTTTATATTCTTAAACAATTTCTTAATTTTCTTTATAGATTTTGGATAATCATAGATTTTATATTTATTGCCATGTTTACATAAAATATGTCAGTATGATTAAGCACGATTATGATTGAGATTGCACAACTTTAATATAAACCTTCGAGTAATTTAATTATACCTCATATTTTTAATACATTATCCAGTTTATTTTCACTGTATTAAGTATTCACAATTAACTATTACTTATTTATTTTCACCGAAAAAATTTCCGCAGTATGAAAATTAAGTAATAGACAGTACAAAATATTCGTCTACACTGAAAATAAGTTAGTTAACATTAGGTATTAAATTGTCATCCAGGCGCAACACGGTGCGTTCAATAGGGTATAATAATATTATTATTTATTATGATATGATCTATGAACATAAATTTGATTTTTGCATACTTGTATAACTATATATATATATATATTTATATAGATAGATTATTAAGCCCCTTAAACTTTAGAGTCTCAAACAAGAAACGATTTATTAACTAAGGTACATGACCAACACGGTCGAATAAATAAATCGGCACGTGCAGTGTGAAAGAGGTGAGGTTTGACAACTAATATCGAACAATCGGTCTGACAACAAGTAATTGTCAATTAATCGTTTAGTATATGAGACGTGGATCCCTTTATTTTGATTAAAAAATAATATATTATCATTATATCAATGTACGCTGATAAGCAACAATATTAAGTTCTGAGCGGAGCGATGAATGCGTATAGATAAACCTATTGTATAGTTATATAATGATGCTTATTGTGTGTCTGTCATCTTGTTTCGAACAGAACAAATGATTTAATATTCAGATTTGATGGTGATTTCTGGTAAAAAAAAAAAAAAAAATGACACTATTTAGTACTTATTTTAAAAGAACTACTTCGGTAATTAAATCGGGAAATTTAATAATCTAAACACAATTAATATTTATTAACAGGACACAATAGTATTTAGGTAAATGATTAAATCATATTCATATCTACGTGATATTTATAAAAGAATAATAGATAAAGGTGTACAAATGCGATATATCGATATTAGATACTTTACATATTCAATATAGGTTAAGTAAGGTATTCTACCTTGAATATAATATATAAATTTGTAACATAGAAAACATTTAAAATTTTTAATTAGAACATAATTCAACATAATATTATTACAATAGGTGAGTTATTAAATATCAATTAAATACCTTTAATTTTTACATTTCAGAAATCAGAATATGTTATGCAATAATTACCTCACTTAAAAAACACCTCACTTATATTTTTAAGTCAATTTTTCAACAAATGTTAAAATAAACATTTTCTAACTATGATAATATAATTTCCAAAAAAATATTTTATGCAATTTGTACTATTTGTAGACATTTGAGTTTTAAATTTTTTAAATATTTTAGATTTTGAGCAGAACGATTAATTTTACAGTAATGTTTAATTTTATTTTCGTATTTAATGAAATTTTTTATAGTATGAAATTTGTAACTACTTTTCGAATTTTTCGATAATTTGTTATGTATGTTTGTATCACTGTCTGTAATATTTTGTGTGTTCATTGTTTTGTTGAAAATTTCATAGTAATTGTCAATTTATTGTGCCAAACAAATATTTATGCGAATAGCCACATTATTTATCATATTAATAGGATTCAAATGCATATTTTTGATTTTTTTTTTCATGAATATTTTGTCAATGATAATAATATACTTCTCTAGTTCTCTACTCCGATAATAAGTTTATTTTTATGATAAGAATATTTGATGAATTAAAAATATTTAGAATAAAATCATTTATAAATGTCTTATAACATTTATAACAAATAACAATGAACAGGTATTGTATTAAATCAAAAAGTCATAAGGCTCAAGCAGATAAATAAAAAATGATTTAAATATGATTAATTGTATTATTAACAAAAATGTATAAGTAAAATCAATTAATTGCATATTGACTCGTTATGAACAAACCGTTTATCGATTCTCTATATCTTAAATATCAATAAGCATACTACGTTGGTATATCAATAAGATAGGTCGAAACATTGATCATATACTACTGTTGTCGTCTTCATAACATTCGTTACTAAACTGCTCACACATGGCTTCTTATTCAACTTCACCCATGCACTCTTTTAATTGGGAATTTTCGAGCATTAATTTTCTATTCAGCTCGGCATGGAATTTATCTTTTTTGTTCATTTTCAAGCGGTGTTCTTCTTTCAATTGCTCCATAGCAAAATTCATAATTTTTTTATTCTCAAACGCGTCCTCCAACATGGTTTTTAAACGATTCATTTCTGATACAATATTGTTGTCAAGTACAGTAGTTTTGTCCAAAATATTTTTAAGTAATTTTGATGCACACAATTCGTCAGCCGCTTCAAGATTGCGCATGTTTTCCAAGTCGTTTTTATATCTAGATGAGTCATAGTGAAATTATTATAAAACTATGTCTGGTAAGATTAGATACACGTAAATATAATATAATAAATAATAAATATAAATTAACTTGTTCAACTCGGCATTGAGTACAGTTAATTGATCGTTGTTTATTACATTTTTGTCGGCTTGCAACTCAATTTCCTGAAGTTGTTCCGCTAAAAGTTCAGTTTTTTTCTGCATGTAAAATATTATGGAATATATATGTATTTTAAACTAATTAAAATTTATGGACTATGATTTGCAATGGAATTTATACTCGCCTTTAATTCTTTGGACATTTTTTCAATAGATTCTAATTTTAATTTAGTCTCTACATTTAATGTTAGTCCATCACCGCCTTCACTTTTATCTACCATTAACTTTTGCTGCTATAAAACCAAGAACAAAATTTAGAATCAATCATACTTAATTTAAGTATGAAATAAACCAGTTGTATTTTTTACTGAGTAGAGTTTTGAGATATATATTTTAAGTTTTTTTAATACCTGCTTAATAAAATCAAAAACATTTTAAATAAAAGAAATACATTTTTGTAAAACTATGAGTTTTTTGGTAAATATTAAACATTTTTCATGATTTATTGTTCTGTATCAAAATAATGATTAATATTTCAATTTTAATTTACTAAGAACACAGAGTACATTACATTATTTTAATAAAATAATTTGTTGTTTTTGAATTAAATATTATAAGTTTAATTTAACTTTGTAAAAAAAAACTGAATTGAGTATAGTTTGCGTAACTGGTTTTACTTGCACTTCTTTTGAATCATCTGACATTTCATTGGCATCCAATCGTTTTCTTTGAATGGAACTTTCATTCACTACATGAAAATAAAAAAAAAATGCTCAAGAATTTTTAAAACACTTTAAATACCTATACTACACTTGTTAATTTTAGGCGTGTTTAAATATTTTGTTTTAAATAATAAGAATTTACCGAAAAAATTTACTTCTTTTGAATCATCTACAATTTCATCGATATCCAATTGTTTTCCTTGCTCTGAAATCTTATAGTTATCTATTAAGTAACAAAAAATGGATAATAAACAATAAGCATATCAAAAGCATAATTAAAATCTTTGATATTTCTAAATATATACTTTTTTAATAATAAAAATGTACAGAAGAAATTTGTGTCAAACTTTTAATAATATGGATTACTCTGCATTTATTTACTTGTTTTGAATACTAGTACAAGTAAAGTAGTAAAAATAATAAAAAAACAAAACAAAATTAAAACATTAAAATATTCAATAATTGAATATTTCTAAATAGCTTTCACTTCACATTATTTTTTTAAGTTTTTTTTTTTTTTTGCTCAATTTTAATTTTTTTTTTAAATAACAGGATAAAAAGTACTTTAGTTTGCTGTTTAGTTACTTACTAAATTAAACACTATTACTATAAATTATACAAAAGAGACCAGAGTATAAATGTTTAAAAATTAGATTTACATTTTTTATAATAATTCTATACATTTATAATCAATTAATAGATAAACAATAAAGTTTAAATTAATATTTTACCTTTGATTTCATTAGTATGTGTATGATTTTCCGCGGATTTGAATGCACCAACAGTATTTTGAACATTTACCATACCCATAATTAAAGTTTCGTCTTTAGGTTTCATATTTTTTTTATCACAAACATTAATCTTCTGATAGAAAAAAAAGAATCTGATGAGAAATTATAAGCAAAATTGTTTTATATGTTTTTTGAATTCTAATCATTTTTGGATAAAAAAAAAAAAAAAACAATATCTTCAAATTATTTATTTTGTTATAATATATAAGTATTAAATTAAGTTTAAATTTTTACGATTCTTTTGTAACAAAAAACACAAAATTAAATTTATTTAATTGAAAAACCAATATATTCTCACCTGCTTTGGGAAATTATGTGTGGTTAAAGGTAATAAAGGTGAATTGTGTTTAGGAAGATTGTTAAACGGTTCTTTTAATTTTCCCTTTTCTAGTTGTTCAAGTAACTTGATTAGGTAAGCATTTCTGAGTGATTCCTCGTTAGAAGTAGTCTTGAATAACTTGTGTAACCATTCTCGACATAGTAATTTTTCTTAAAACAATGTTAACATACATAAAAATATATTATATTTATATTTATTTAACATTTTAAAACCATTTATTTTCTAATTATTAACGTACGTAATATTATATGAGTGGTTATTTAATCAAAGAATACTTAATTATTTAAAAAATTATCAATATTTTGGATACTGAGAAGAGCGATGAATGTTATGATTTTACAATGTGCTGTTTGTGTATGCGTGTGCAGATTTATTATTTATTAATCTATATTAAAAAAAAAATTTCTACCGAAAGCCAAATTAATTTTTTATGAACGATTGAAGTTCAAATTTTTATAACGTTGAACGCCGTAGATTCTCCTTAAAATTAATATATCTTCACAAACAATTTTTATTATTTTCTTATAATTTAAAAATGAATAACCTTAAATACTTAAAATTGTTATCAACATTTTATAATTTTTTATAAGTATTAATATTTAGAAATTATTTCGACGCTTTTTATGTTATTAATATAGACATTTTAATATTCAATTTTTTTTTAGTTTTAATTTTAATGTCAATAAAATTTCTTACTCTCGATTAAAAAAATTAAAAATGTGATACAATACCCTCACACAAATTGTTTCTACTTTTATAAAAATAAGAAAACTTAGGGACCATTTTTTAGATAAATTTCAAGTTCATTTTTTAACAAAATTAGTCAAATTCTCGAAAATGTAATAGATACGAAATTCTTCATAAATAATTCATACAATAATCAAAATATTTAAAAATATATTACTCTTTTGTTTTCATAGAAATTTGAATAAGTTAAAAATTGGACGAAATTACATATTGTTTTCATTACTATAAATAATTAGTACCTAATACGTTGTTACTTAACATTTAAAACAAAAATAGGTTTTTTTTTAAATTATTACTTTTATCCTTTTTAAGTATTTTATTTAAGTGTATGACAAAATAATATTTTGCTTTTTGATTTCTTATTTCAAAATAGAATACTACTATTTTGATACATAAAAATCAAATTTTTGACTATTACTTATAATTTTTGTCATAACTTAAATATTTTAAAATTATAATTATAGAATTATGTACATTTTTTCTTAAAAAATATTAGTGTACATTAATATAGTATCACATTTCTAATTTTCAAAAACTATAACTACCTATTTATTTTTATTAGTCAATAAAACTATACACGATATAGATAATTGAATCCTTAGATTTATAAATAAGTAAAACCTCTTAAATACCGAGATCTGATTTCAATGCAACGTAGTATGGTTCAATCTTAATCAAAAGAGTTTTAAATTCTTGATGTAAATCTTCGTTATTTGACAAACTGTCGTTCATATTAAAAATGTATTATTAAAAAAAAAAAAGAACGTTTTATTAAAAATATACTTTATTGTTATTTATTATTATTGACTTTTTTGATTTAAGTTCTTCATTACCATAGTTATAATTTCTCTGATAATTAAAAATAATTAATAGTTTTTATATAAACCAATCAATTGAAACATGATAACCTGATTTTAGGAGTTCATCGAGTTAAAATGATTTTTAATTATTAATTAATATCATATTTTGTTTCGCATTTTATATTACATTGTGTTAGAATTGATATCTAATTATCTTCTTTACGATAATCATATTCATATATTAATATGAATTTTTCTTTTTATTTTGGCTCTTCCATATCAATATATTTGGCGGCTCAAAAGTCTCTTCTTGTTGGTCACCTCTGTACTATATTGTTATTTATTAGTTTATTACAGTTCGGATTAGATATAGTTAAGTATGCAACATATTATGCTTACAGTCATAGTTTTTGTCTGTTTATATAGCGTACAGTGATACCGGTGGGCAGTGAGTCCGAGATGGGTTTGCATTGGCCTTGAATACAACTGTTGTTATATTCAGAACAATAAACTCTTAGACGCTCGGGTTTGTTTTACGTTTTAATGAGAACGGCGAGTGGCCAACGGGCTATTTCCCGCTCACGACTAGATCATGACACGCAATAATACTATTATAATACATATATTATACAGTGTTACTGTTGGCTGTACCTATGTTCTGTGCACAAATAAAATCATACGGTATGGAGTGAAATCATATTTTGTTTTTCCTGTACGATAATATTAAATGTGGTTAAAAAGAAAGAGTTACAATATGTGCTACATAGACGCCAAATTGTTATAGATCATTATTCGAATTCTGAATGCACCACTCCAAGCGTTATATCCCAAAATATGTTTTTAATGTTTTCGTTTCTAACTATTAAGATACACTGTATTTATGCTTTTGCATAAATTATATAATGGATAATTTAAACACAATGCGTTGACTAAACGTATTTATACATTTAGTGCACATTTTTATACTTACCTATATTCTTATTGTAAATGTGTTATTTTACTATTTTCTGAATTGGATTTTATTTTTTTTTAATACAGCCAATACGAATACGATAAAAGTGTGATTTGAATTTTGTATTAAACTTTAATGGTAGACAGCAGTTAAGTATGAAGTGACTGTAAAATATATAGTATGAATTCTTCGGGTTATTTTTTACAATTTACAATCGTGGAATTCAATAGCAACTCGTAAGGAATAAAGTGATATTTTAAATTTATTACCATACTTCAGTTTTTAAATTTTTAAGCTAGTTTGTCTTTGACTACAGATTATTATTGATTGCCACCGTCAACACACGAGTTTACTCGTCTTAAAATATTCAAAGTATTTTTAGTAAGTATTATGTGCACTATTATCATTATTGTACCTACTTATATTTGTATAGCGTTCAAACTTAACGAGTAGAATGTAAAAAAAAAATGAAATAAGATACCTTACATTTTATTTAAAACGCTTAAAGTTAATACAACGATAATACGATGTATTCGCAATCTAATAAATATATAAAATATATATTTTTACATTTCGTTATTAAGTTATGAGCCAATAATGAATCATTTCAATGTTCACAATGACTAACGACGATGACTAAAGTCCTCATGGATCGCTGCTCACTTTTTATATGATTAATATATTAACCATGAGTGATTAGACTATTAATTAAAATGAAATGTAATAATTAATATGTGAAAAAATGTATTTATCAATGTCCTATGTACAATTTACATATTATTTATTTGTAAACATTGCTCGATTAATGATTCAAACATATACATTTGTATTATGTTTACGTAGTTGTACAACATAATTTGATTATTAAGTAATTTTATTAAAACTAAAAACCAACATACATTATGATTAGTGTAAACTTTATGTGTACCTACGATCTCTAACAGCTATTCAATATTTAAGAGTTGCTATTATAACCGAGGATTGATGAAAAAACAATATATAGGCCATTTTATAAAAGACAATGGCTGGCCATAAATGAGAAATTATACGATAAATTTGTGGTATTTAAAAAAAGAATATATCATATACATTTATACTTAAATAATATTAAAAAAGAAAATCCTTTTTAGTTTCATGGTGAAAATGCATAATGTAAAATGCATCGTGTTTTATCCTATGGGATTCATTCCAAAATATAGACTACATGTACACGTATATTGTAATTATAATTAAATAATGAGAAAATTAGAGTAAAAATAATATTATTTTGAGTATTTACTATTTTATAAAAAGTAAATTTTATGGTAGTAAGATGGAAGGGGGAGTTATAGTATTTAAAATTGTATAAATTTGGATTCTAAAAGTGTTAAGAACTTAAAAACATTCAACATCTAATATACACATATAATATATCAAATCTTCAAGTTGCTTAGACATAATATAGTATTTATTTAATTTTTAAAAGCTTAAAAATAACAAGTGCCTTTTTAAATTATTTTCGATTACTAAATTCCTAGTAGTTGTATTATTTGGAACTTTATATTATTGTTTTTTCCATTGATTTAAAAGCAATTTTATGTTATTATAACATAAAAAATTGTTCGATTTATCAATTTAAGTCACAATAATCTACAACCATAAATTATTAACCACAAACTAAACTAAAAATAAGTTTTAAGGGAAAGTGAGTACCGCTTTGCTGTACAGTAGATGTCGGATAGTTGATTGTTAATGGATGTGTTAAATTTGAATTCAATGATATATCATATCTTATATGAAAACGAATTTGATTGAAGACGAGCTATCAGATTTTATCACTGAGTAGGTATATTTCATAATATTACATTTATAAAATTATTTATTTTATTATTAGTATTATATAAGTTGATTTAATTTTTGCAAAAAATATTGTATTTATAAATATTATTAATATTTATTTATATATTATTATAATATATTATATATTTTATACAATATTATATTATGATTCAATATTACCTTATTATAAAACAGTGTAAATAAGTTCATAGAATAAATAGGTGTTGTCTATAAATCAATCTACATATTTTAAAATTTTTAAACGTATAATAAAATTCATAATAAACATGAAGTTCCTACGAATGTTTTTGAATTAAAACAAAATAATGAGCATTGTTATTTATACTTTCAATATGTAAATTCGTTCAAATTTTAATTTTAAATGTCTGTGAAAATTTTTTTTGCATATATTATAATTTTATTTTTTTTACTTTAATATGAACTGCTTATAAGCAGTTAACTATAATATATATTTTAAATAATTTTCAATGGCTACATAATAAAAACTTATAACAATTTTACTATTCAATTTTTAAACATTTTGATCCACCAAATCTTTTTTTTAATGTTAATAACTATTGAAAAATTTTATCAAAAAATTTTCATGTCCATAAATAGATTTAAAATATAATTTTATTTACAAAAAAAAAAAAAAAAAAATAAAATAAATTTTATCGAATAGGTACTGATTTTACGTAAAAATTTCCAATTTTCCTTAACTTATTTTTTGTTTTGAAAAAATTTTTACTCTTGACTCCTCAAAGTAATTATATACTCGTACAATTTTCTATCAAAATTCAAATGTCACCAGATAAAAAAAACACACAAGTTATTCTAAAATTAGTATATTTATCGCTTTGTCGCTTTGCTCAGAATATAAAATATTTTTTCATTAACTCTTTTAGGTATTTAAGAATATATATTTTATTGAAAAAAAAAAAAATAAATTTAAAATGATAGTAACTGAGTATTCACTAAGTTCATAAATTCAAATAGTCAAAATGAAATTTCAATTTTCAATCAATACAACTACAGCAGCCTAGTCCATTCAAAAACTAATTAAAGTAAATAGAGAAAATATTATACTTAGTGATAAAGTTCAAATATTTCCATTATTTGACCATAGATATTAAAAAAATGTTTGATATTTAAAGACAATACTTTTTTGTGTTTTATATTCATTTTCATACATAATATAAATGGAAATCATCTATTTATAGATTTTATCTTCATATTTTACTTTATTATGAATAAAGTATCATAATACTATTTAGTTGACACCGTAGCACAGTGTTTCCTAATCTATGGGTTGCAACACAATTTTGAGTCGCCAAATATTTTTTATGTGCCGCCAGTCGCGGCCTATAATTATTAAAATGTACATGAAAATAAGTTTAACAGAGAATTTATAAATGCTTCACTTATGTTTTATTTGGTACCTCTACATATAATAATAATGTGAAGGATCGCTAGTATTGTAGATACTATTAGTAAAGTTTGCATTACATTTTTATCATATCGGTAGGTATACGTGCTAATGACTGTCGATGTGGTATCGTTCAATTTTCGATATAATTGAGCAAAAGTCTTAGTTTACGATCAGACACTCATTTTTAAATACTCAAATTTTTTATAATGTATATTATTAAGTTTTGATTTTTCTAATGGATAAATTTATTGTTTGTAACACCACATCCATTGATACCAGTCAATCAGTTCCAACAAGTAGTTTAGTACAACACAAAATTATTTTTTTTTGTGTTGGTGAGGGTGGGTCGCGTAACCAACAAGTAGTAAATTTATGGATCGCCATTACAAAAAGGTTGGGAAACACTGCCGTACCGTATAATTTTTAAACTTTATATTTCTACACATACGTGTCATTTACTGGTAAATCGTATACAATCAAACACCACTCTGAGACGTCAAAAAGACGTCTTCTGTTGTTGAGAAATGTTCGATAAGTCATCAAAATCTACGAGTCAATAACGAGTACAATAGAAAGGACGTGTTATCAAACGAGTAAACATGAACAATTATTTTTACTGTAATCATATATTATATGATATATTTTATAATTTCGTGATATACGATGCAATGTACCTAATGTTATGTGCGCCTATCGGTTGTTATATTATAATAATTATATTATGCACATTGTA